GTACCTGGCCTACTTAAAAATCTTGATATGCAAGTTACTTATTCACTATTCCTAGAAACCAATTACATTTTAAAGCAGAGGTCATACATGGTTACCAATGGGCCAAATGGGGCCTGCAAACAGTTTTTTGCTTAACCTGCCCAGAGCTTTTAAAACTGTAAATTAGCTGCCAACATTTAAATATTCAAAGTCTTACCACAAAAATCCAGATCTCTAGTTTCACTTGAGAAATGGAAAGATCTGATCACCCTCGAGCCACAAGATGAATTGAAATCAAGTATCTACCACCTATTCCCATTTTTCTGTCTTTCCAAGTCTCTACCTGGCTTTCACTCACTTTAATTTCAAGCTTCAACAAATGTTTGATTTTTCTAGTCCTATTTCCAAGGAGAAAGAACCAAGGAGAAATTAATTTAGACATAATTTAACATGTACATTTTAAAGGATAAATAAGTCCTATCTCAAGTATTCCAGTAAGTTAGTAACAGGCTTATCGTTAAGAACTTGCTCTTTGGCAGCAGAACATAAATGGTTAAGAACTTGCTCTTTGGCAGAACATAACTGGTTCAAGTCCTGGCTCAGCCCTTTACTATGTGACCTTGGGGAAATTATTTGGCCTAAGCTTCTCTTTCCTCATCTGTATAACCTACCTCAAAGGGTTGATTGTCTTCAGCACATAATGGAATTAATACTTGTTTAGTATTCAGTAAATCCGCAGAAAAAGGCAGTTACTAGCTATTACTACACAACTGAAAGAACCTATTTTCTTACAAATATACTACATGTAACAATGTCTAACAGAAAGTACCTAGAACTGGGCATTGGGGCCTTGGAAGATGCAGGTTTCAGTTCAGTTTTTGATCTCAAGGAACTTAACCTTCCACTTTTTCACTAGCATTCCCATCTGGTCCTCCCTGTTCCTCTACCTACATTAGATTCCAAGGTCATCAACACCACTGCTCCTTTGCAAACATCTGTAACTCCCTTACTTCACTCTCCATCCACCCTTCTTACACACAACTATCCATGTACTTAATCCAGGCCTGCACCTAACCAGCTGACCATTGCTCAAGAATACCTAAGTGGGCTAACTGATCTCACTTCAAATTCGGGATCATAAATCTCCCACGGGCATTCAATACTGCCTGGCAATCCCACACCTGCCTGTTTACTTTCTTTTCACACTGTCTGTTCTCACTTCAAGCCTACTCCTCCTTCACTCCCACAGCCTCTCACTCTAACTCATGATCATATCCATACTTTCCTTGAAAAACAGAAGCAGATTGTTAGCACTCCCTTATATTCCCACCCACAAATCCACCACCTACTTACTGCATCCAGACACATTCTCTGCCTTCTCTGATTCATGATCATAGGCCCTCGCACCTTCTGTGATTTGCCTCTCTTCTCCCCCATCTCTCCTACATCATCAATCTCCTTTCTATCTGGTCATTAATTAACCAGTTAACAACAAAAATTCCCCCAGTATATAGAGCTTTAAAAACTACCCTTCCTCGACCCACTTCCCAATACCCTACAGAGCAAAACTTTCTCAAAGCCACGTCTATTGTCATTACACCTCACATTTGTTGCCAATCCACTCTGATTGTCCCCACTCCTCTAGAGATGGTGCTCATAAAGATCACCAATGAATTCTACATTTTTAGCATACTTGACCTCAACACGATTGAAGCACTGTCTTCACTTAACTTCTGGGACACCTGATGGCTTAATTTTCTTCCTTTCTCACCAGATGTTCTTTCTCAGTGTCCTTTACTGGCTCCTTTTCTATTGCTCCACATACTGCTCATTTCTCTGACCCCTTCTCCTCTTCAACCCAGCCTAAATGACATCACCCAGCCTAAATGACATCACCCAGACTTGACCATTCATATGCTGATAACTCTCAAATTTATCTCTAACCCTGACTTCTTCTAACTCCCAGCTACTACTACCCAACTGATGCCTCCATGTTGACAGGCACAACAACTCTTGGTACTTTTCTACTCTGTCCTACCCTGAGTGTGGCTCATCCCAAAAACAAAATTGTTACCTTCATGTACCAGTTGTTGAAAAGAAAACAAAAAAGTAACAGCCTATCAGACATATTTCTCTCACTGCACATATGCAATCCATTGACATATCAACTCTCTTCAAAACACATCCCATACTCATTCACTTCTCTCCAAATTCCCACCCCAGTCCAAGCTACTACCACTGCCACTCCCCTAGGTAACTGTAAGCCTCCTAACCAGCCTCTCTGCTTCCATTCTTGCCTTCCTACAATCTATTTCCCATATACAACATAAATCAGGCCTTGTCATTCCCCTGCTTAAACTCTCCATGACTCCTGCCATCTGCCCAGTGGCCAATCCAGAGGCATCAAAACCTCCATAAAGTAAATGTGAAATATGGTACCAGATAGCTCAAGTTTTCACATACACTGTCATATATATTTAGAAAAATTTAAATAAGGCCTCTTTGAGTTCAGTGAATATTGCAATCTCGTGGCAGCTAAAAAAAGGTACAAGCAAAAGAAAAGCAAATCCAGTAACTAAAAAAGATCTTGTCTGTTACATTTTTTTTTAAAAATCCATTATCAACATAATGGCCTTTGACAGACCTGGAGTGTGTCTGAGTGGGAGACCTTCAGGCTTCAGAGATAAAAGCAGGGACAAAAAAAAGAGAGATCGTGAGAATGGGGAGAAATAGTGACAAACAGGAGCTAAACCTGGGGGAAAAAAAAGTGGGAACCATTTTGAGAGACTATTTTTGATGCATATTTGGAAATGCTATATAATAATGCCAATGTCCTCCTTTGTTTACCCTGCAAATTCTTCACTTAATTCTATATTCCTCACCAATGCTAATGGGCAGGTGGAATTTTGTTTCTGTGAACCTCAAAGGGAATAGCTGACATTACAGATACTACACAACTGTTATAGAAAATTAGTTTATCTTCATTCTCACTAAATAAGTATCAAGCAATACTTTCCAAACATAAATCAGTCTGAAGAGGCATCAAATCATTCTTGCCTGTCTGGGTGCTCACATGGATCTCAGACCAGCCTTATATGAGGATATAATGTCTTTATTTCTATATGCTACCTGCCCGAATTTTTAATTTTTCCTCTATCTTTCTACCACTTTCCTCAACTGGGTTTTTGTAGGACATGTAATTTTAAAAGTCATTTCAAATCCCTTATGCAACAAGGTGGATGATAAATACAAGTAATGTCATACATGCTGACGGCTGGTTAGTCCACAAAAGCCTATCTCACACATATGTTGCCTTCTGTTATAAAATTATTTTCTAAGTTCTAATTTGATATAACGGGAATAAATCCCTCCCTCCCCAAAAACTGACACAGTGATGTAAAGGGGCTCTTTTTTCATCTGTCCATCTACTAGGGGAGTGGAAGGAAGGATGCCTAATGCCTGGCCCAGGGCAGGACCTTCTGCTGGGTAATCAGAGGGTTGCAAAGCAGGGATCAGAAACCAAATCTGTGTGGGTGCCTACAGCCTCCCACCAGCATAAACCTGAGTTGAGCTCTGACCTCTCCAAACTCCCTGGTCACATTAACTGACCCACTGCTTCCCCTCCACAGTAAAACCAACTGTTGTAAAGATCAGAGTATTTCTATCACAATAAATAGAAAGAGTCTCACAACTCCTCTCCTTTATTTCTATCTTTATTTCTATTGCTAAAGCATATACTTGGCTCCTTGGGAATTTCTAAGGGTTTTTCTTTTACAAAAAAGTTAAAAACCAAGAGTAAAAAGCACCCGCTCCTATGCCTCCCAACAACTTTCACTTCCTTAAATCACTTAAAAAATAAAGAGTCCCACACAGATGCTGAAGACAAGTCCTTATACAAAGTACTAGGTCAAATTCATCTTGAGGATTTCCTTCCAGGGAAAAGCAGACTAAGTCTGTGCTATTTCAGTGTACCAGAGACCCTGGGATTTGAAAGGGAAGCAAAACAGAGGGAGTGTATTTACAACTTACCAAATCAGTTAGCCCAGCTAAAGCAAAAACTCCTAGTGCAATATTAAAATCCTCTTCAATAATCAAATAGCCCAAAACTGGGGCCAAGCCAATTCTTGTCATTGACAACATATTTGGGATTGTCCATGGGTTTTCATACTGAAACACAAAGACAACAAAACTTAAATTAAATGCTATGAATTCATACTTTAAATACATTAGAAAAATACACCAAAAATTACACCAACTTTGGAGTCAGAAGCTACATAAGCTTTAAATTTGGTACTCTGAATTTTAAAATCCATTCTGTTGTTTAGACCATAGCTCTAAAACTGTCCAGAATACAGAAGATGAAGATATGTCATATGCCCATAGAGTAAAGTGTCTGCTATATATAGAGTGTGTGTATATATACACACATACTTCCTAAAGAGAGAAAAGAACAAACGTATTATTTACCATATAGGTCAAGGCTTTAATATAGGACTTTATGATTAGAATTCAAACTTTACAACACTCTGCTTTTTAGAAGTATAACCTCAAGAAGATCTTATACTTCAAATAAACAGTCTAGAAAGTGTTAAAAAAAAAAAAAAAAGCCAAATTATCAACCCCAGGCATTTTGACTTAAAATGTTTAAGCCCTCTGCACATACCCATCAAAAGAAAGCTAAATGCTATACAGTGTATGGACATATGATGAAAACGAAAAGAAAATTTAATTCCATGATCTCATCACTAAATGGATAACTGCTGGAAGAAAATGGGGCTGGAAATAGGGATTGAGATCCTTGGGAAATAAAGAGAAATTTTGTAAATCTGTTCAAAATACCCATGAAAATGAAATGTTAAGATTCCCACCTAGAATCTGAGGGCTTTAGGATTCCTTGAAACTTTATTTGGAGCCAAGCTGTTTGAAGTTGGGACTAACAAAAGGGCTCTTTGGCAGCTACTATGAAGAACATTACTTCCTTGCCAAACAAAATCTGTTTCATGAGAATATTTCAACTTTAAAAGCCTCGCCCTAGTGGAGCTAAGATACTCTGCCCAACAGGATACAGAAATAATACCAAGAAAACGTCTCCCTAAAGCCTGGACTTTTTCTGCACTGGTGAAAGTTGCCAACTCAACCCCATGGGACTATCTACTCACAAACTAACCCTACTCTTAATCAGTAACCAATTAATCTGAACCTTAACTTAGATTTTTTTAAAAAGTGAGTTTCCATTTCTAAAGAAATCTTTTAAAATTCCATGAACCATTCCGTAAGAAAAAGCAGTTCTCTAAAGATACTAAATTTGTGTTTATAAACAAGCTGGTAAGAAATGTTCACCTTAGTTTGGAGGGATAATGGGGTTGTTATGGCAGAAACTGCAATTGAAAGCTACAGAAAAACTTCAAATTCTCCAGGAAACAATCACGAAACAAGAAGCAGTACAAACCTCTACTCAAGGACCCTTAACTGAAAGTAGACCACATTATGTAATTAAATGGGAAAATTCTGGGAACATATTCCAAATTTAAGTTCAAAGGTCAGAGTGTTTCAGAATCCAGAGGAAAAAAGGTAAGTCTGTTTACCATAATGTGGTACAGAGTAAGTCAAACACTTATCCAATGTTACAGCAACTCGGAGGGCGAATAACAACATAGTTCATGATTGAGAAAAAGGAATCACAAAGGAAAAGGTCAAAATAGAGTCCCAAAATTAATGTCAGAAAAATCCATAGCGCAAAATTAAAGACAAAGTTGCAAATAGCCTGATCATTTCATTTGGTGAATGAATCAACAGAACTGGAACTGGAACAGTGAGAGTTCTTTTTAGCTCCACATAAAACATTTTAAAGTACCTCATTAATTTCTAATCATTAAATTTGCAAAAGTTTCTAAATTAAAATTAAGAGAGCTAATCTCAGATTACCCAACCAGATAACCTGTGGCATACTCGACCAACTACTGCCGTTCTGGGAAGGACTTCAGCCACCATATGGCAACCTCAAAGCATCCAGCATTCAAACCCCGACATACTTTAGCTATTAGTGGAGCTGAGACCCCGGCCAGGATGTGGCCACCTCAACCCATGCTGTACAACTGATGAAAGCAGTACAAGGGCCCACTGAAGACATAACAATTGAAGATGTAATAATTGCATGAGTCTTGCTAACATGACATCAAAAGCTCTCCCACATTCATGCTCTGGTGTCTTCTGCTTGGGCAGTATTTCAAAAGGTAAGTGGACAAATATCTCGTTCCATTACCTCAAAAAGAGAGTTGTAATCTTTTTCTACAATTAGAGATTAAAGAACCCTTTAATTACGATTTATTTATCTTTCATCTTATATAAGGTTACCAAAAGTCAGATGATAGTGAACAAAACCTACACAAGCCAACAGGCTTGTACACTTTTCTAAAGATTCCTACTGACTTGTCCTAAACATTGGGGAATGGCTTCAGAGAATTAAAAATTGACTTAATAAGACAAGTGAAGACTATTTTTACCAATGCAATATCCTGAGGCCGATCCCGCTAAAGGTGCGGACCGAAAGGGGGGTAGGGAAGGAGAGATTCTAACTTGACCGCCGAGACTGAAGATGGACTCGGTTAGCACCCCTGAAATTCGTCCCAACTGAATGACCTCCCCGTTACTCCTCTTCAGGGAACGGTTTACAAGTTCTGGAACGGAAATGTCTGACTTGGGCCAGTCAGAGCACGTTCACGTCCAAGTCCGATCCCCGTGAGGGCCCGCGACCCCGACCCAGGGTTGCCCCTCCGCCTCCTCCTCGGTACGTACCAGGCTGGCGGCGCTCGCCTGGCCCCATCCGCCGCTCCCGGGCTCCGCCGCGGCGTCCCCTCCAGCTGCGGGTTCGGGAGCCGCCTTCCCCGCGCCAGAGCAGTGGCCCCGTGGGCCGGCCCCAGGCAGCCGCAGGCCGAGCGCGGCAGGGCGCAGCCACCAGCGCTCCACCAGGCAGCCTAGGCAGCCGGGCACCGAGCGCAGCAGAGCCCCGCGGGCGCGCTCCTTGCCCGGCCGCACCCCTGGCGTCCATGCCGCGCCGCGAAGGACCCCCCACGAGCCGCGCGCCACGCGCGAAGCCAGCATGGCCTTGCCGCCGCGCCGCGAGGAGACAGGCGGCGAGAGCTCAGCAGCCTGGGGCACCGGCGAGCCGCCTCTCCATAGAGTCCCCGCAACACCGGAGAAGCTCGGCTGCCTCCATTGCAGTTTTCAAACCCCAGCACGCCTCGCTTATACAGGTGGCCGGGAGCCGCCAAGGACGGACGCCTTCGCGACGCTTTTGCGACACCGTCGGCGCTGGGCTTCCCAGCGCCCCCGGCGGTAGCAGGAGGAGCGTGCCGTTAGCCGCCGTGGGTTTCAGGGAGCCGCAAGCTGCGATTGCTGGCTTTTCTGCGCGCACGGTCGGGAGCTGAGGTCCGCGGGGAGAGGAGGACAGGAACTAGCAGGGCTGGGTGATGGCGCAGCCGATGTGACCGGAGAGCGCAGGAGCCGTCTCGGGCCTCGGCCTGAAACCCTCCGAGGCCCGTGGCCTGCAGAAGGGCCCCCTCCGAGGTGTGTGCAGCGCTCCGGGGGTACTCGTGGCAGGTTTAAATATTAGTAAAGTGTCTGGTACAGAAGTCATTAATACAAGCTCCCTGCCCTTTTCCCTCTTCTGAGCGTTTCATAAGCCAAAAATATGGGTATTAGAAAATGACAATAGTAGCAATTACTAATTGTTTACCAGGAAAGTGTTTACTACAGCTTGGTTCTAGTGCATTTAATCCTCCCAGCAACTCCAAAATAGGTTCCATTATTACCTTTACTTTTACAGATAAGGGAATTTAGGCTTAGAGATGTTAAGAAACTTGCTTACTAGAGGAATATCCAAAATAATTAAGAATGAGTTCGTCATTGATTAATATGCATTATTAATATTGCAATTATATTAGTTACTGATATTATGCATTAATATTGCAGTGTTGCAGAACTGTTTTCTTGAGTTCTGTGTCAAATTGGATTTGAATGGTTCTTGCTGCCTCGGCACTATCCCCCCGCCCCTGTCTGTGATGACAGACCCACCTAAAAGTTGATCTTGAACTCTTGGTTCAGGTAGTTAGGAAAGGACAAGACCAACTGAATTTGAAAATCATTGTAGATCTGAGTATTTATCAAAAGAAATCTTTAGTTTCTTATGCACTTACTGAAATACTGACATTGAGAGAAAAGCTAAACTTTCTGTACTAGAAATGTAAAAAGAATAATTTTTTTGAAAATAATCATCTTGGAATCAAATACCTACAGTTCTCATAGACATTAGATAATCCTGTCAAGTGAGAATGGGCAGTATTTCAGCCTCTCCTGTGCTTTTCACTCACTGAATTGCCTTTATATTCACGCTTTCCACTTCTTCCTAATTTAAGACAGTTTCTCACTGTTTTTTGGGATTTTTCTTCTCTCTGCTCCACAAGTGTTCCTGCTGCGTCTGCCTGTAATAGTTGGCGCTATGTGGTCTTTTCTCTTACTGTGGTAATCATTTCCTAGTATATACTTGTTTCAAATCATCATGTTAAATGTACACAGTGATGTATGTCAATTATAGATCAAATAAAGCTGGAAAAAATATTAATAAAATATAGTAAACTAGTTTATATATATATATATATTTTTTTTTTTTTAAAGAAAGCCAACTTTACTATGGACTACTGATAGTACTGCTAAGTATAAAGTAGGACAGTAAGGTGTCTGGCATTTTGTCCTAAAGGACAATGACAGCTTAATACATAGGACTAAAAACTAGGGGTGCTTGGCTGGCTTAGTCAGTGGCACATGCGACTCAATTTTGGGATTGTGAGTTTGAGCCCCATATTGGGTGTAGAGATTACTTAAAAATCTTTAAAAAAAAAAATAAAAAATGAGTAACAGTGCTTCCAGCAATGCATTTCCCTAACATTTTAAGACAGAAGAAGATCCAAGTATTAGTCTCTGATTTCATTTTCTAGAACATGACAGGTGTCAATAAATGAACACGTTGATCTGGGATGAAGGATGGAGAAAAATTCAGAAACCCTGGAAAACAATTCCAGATATAAGATAGTAGGTGCATTCAGTAAATAAAGAGTGTAACATATTTCCTAACGTAGTTTGGAGGAAGGCAGAGGAAACCTAAAAATTCTACAGTTAGTATTTGTTTTATAATAAGTTCATTTTCTCTTTTATAAATACTATGATTGTTAATTTCTATCCAGTAAGATTAATTAAATAGGTGGGCAGCTCACATGTCTGAGGGGATTGGGAATCTCTGTCACTGAACTTTTTCCTCAAATTGGGAAAAAATAATTAGAAAAGTAAGTCTGTAACAAAAATCCAAATAAAAATCCCTATGTAGGGCACCTGGATGGCTCAGTTGGTTAAGTGTCTTCCACTCAGATCATGATCTCAGGGTCCTGGGATCAAGACCTGCGTAGTTGGCAGGCTCCCTGCTCAGCAGGGTGTCTGCTTCTCCCTCTGCCTTTCCCCCTGCTCCCTGCTCGTACTCTCTCTCTCAAATAAATAAAATCCTTTTTAAAAATCCATATGTAAACCCTAAGTTTCATGCTTGAAATTAATTTCAAATTTTTATCTCTCTACCCTTTTTATTAGAATTATTTTTTTAAAAAGCAAGATATACTAGTCAAGTATCTTATCCCAACTTCCCAAGTCGATCATGTAAGTGCTAACATTAAGATAAAAGAATATGAAAAGAAAAAGGATTGTAAATAATTAACTTTGGATAATTAGCCAGTTGACAGTGTACTTTAGTTCTTTGAAAACATAAATGCTATTAACAGCCACTAATATCTATTGTGCAATCACAGCTATACTGTATTTGGCTTCTTATCTTTTAATTGATCCTTTGCTGAGGAAGTTGTAAAAATAAAAATCCTGCCCTTAGAGAGTAGTAGTATCTTGCCACTTTTATGCTTTCCTTGGTAAGTTGCAAAGCACTGAAGGTCTGAGTGTGCTAAATAAACACATCTTATGCTTTTGAAAATTCTGTAACCCAATCATTCTTTCTCACTTGTCACTTCTATTTGAAGTGTAAGTTTTTTGGGAAAAAAAACTCTTACCCCAAATCTATTAATATTTTCTGTCTATTGATAAATTGACAAACTAGAAATATATTTGCCCTCCCCTTATATCAGATATACAATGAGGCATATGTTTGTTATTTATAGTAAGTTTTTTAGTCTGGGACATACTAAACTTGAGCCACTTTCCATTCCTTGGGGACCAGAAGAAAATAGTGATAATACAAAGAAGTAGCTTTGCAAATGGATCTTATATAAATAATAATGGTTGGAAGTTAAAGCAAACCAGAAAATTGAAATTGTTTCTCTAGGAATCAAGTTAAATCTTGTAGGAGTGAACCCTAATTATTGACACTAAAGCCAGTATCTAGTAACTGGTAACTCAAATAAGGCGCAGGTTTAAATCATTGTAATAAACACACCAACAGCCTTAAATAGGAAGGAATAAAATGATTGGATTTAGATTCAAAACACAAGAGAGGGAATTAGTTGTAGGGCCAAGCTCCTCAGGACTTGCAGAGATTAGCTCCACCTAAACTCTCTAATTTAGCTCACTCTTTAATTTACTAAGAGATTAAATTACTAAGAGATCTAAACTATTTTTTTGTCAACTTATAGTGCTAACTTTTCATAATTCCTTCCCACAAAAGTACTGCTGGTACTAGAACCATCAGGTCTCCACCTAAGAGTTTGAGGCAGTCCATTCTTGTAGGAACCTTTAAAGGAAATAAAAATGCTCACAGAGGCAGGCATTACCTACAAGCGGGGAAATCAAAAGGTTGGTTTCAATATGTTTACCCTCTTCCCTTTGTAATATTTTAAAAAGTAACAAAGGGATTTTTTTTAACATTATTTAGTGTATGACTTGCTTTATTTTCCATTCTATTCCTCCTTCCTGTCAAAATTTAAGAATCTGGTTTTCCTTTTTGTGGCTTATGGTGCCCTGTTTTAATGTTATTATCTATCTTTTCTATTTCAGGACAAATGACTGAATTTTGGAAGGTGAGAAATCACCTTCATTCCCCACCAGAAAAAAATTAAACCAATGCTGTGGACACCTGCAGTGATTTACTTCTGAGAGAAACCTTCAAATATGAGCACAAGGTAATTTTTTTTTTCCTCCACGGAACAGTTGTTGCTGTTCCTATTTTTATAAACCATGTCTCCCTACAACTCAGCATTAATTTTTTTCCAGTTGAATCAGGTTATTTAATAACCTTATTTCTGGTGCACATGCTGATACATAGGATAAGACGGTACAGGGCTGGCAGCTCAGTACTGATCGCATTAAAACCAGTTGTGTTTCTGGCAAAATTGGAATAAGAATAGGTCCCTTCTGACATTATGAGCAAAGTACAGGGCTGGATCCCTTCTGAAATATTTTTCACTGTTTTCTCATTAAAACTGAGATTTTACCCAGTTAAACTAGGTGTTACCAAAGTAAGGTCAACTTGTGTAGATGTCAGCCAGAGTTTGGGATGGATTTTCTGGTACTAAAGCCACCCTCTCTTCTGTTCTTATCAATTCCAAGCCCATTTCCCAGGAGGCAAATTAGCCTAAAAGTATTTTCTTTTTTTTTTCCACAAACACTTAGAAAATTGTTGTATACCAGTCATGTCCTAGATTCTAGGCAATCTGCACATGTCTCTATTCTCAGAGAACTTTTTTTTTTAAAGATTTTATTTATTTGACAGAGAGAGACACAGCGGTAGAGGGAACACAAGCAGGGAGAGTGGGAGAGGGAGAAGCAGGCTCCCCACTGAACAGAGAGCCCGATGTGGGGCTCAATCCCAGGACCCTGAGATCGTGACCTGAGCCGAAGGCAGACGCTTAACGACCGAGCCACCCAGGCGTCCCTGTTCTCAGAGAACTTACATGATTGCACACTATCTGGATTCCAACCCCTAGAAGATAAAAAAATGTCTTCCAAGGAATGTTTTCCAGACCTCCTATAGAATCTGGTAAAAGCTATAAAACATATGCAACACAAATTTCGTGTAAAATTTAAAGGAATCCTGTCACCAAGAGACCCACTCACCAACCCCAAAGAAAGAACCACTAGGCAGTGCTCACTCAACCCTGTGTTCAGAGTTCAGGTGGTCTTATGAGCCCTTTGCCATGTTGCCGAGAGTCAGGTC